GTAGAGTCAACAAGACTTTATTAAGGAATTGGTTGATCGAATATGTCATATTAATCTAATTTATTTTCCATTGGACTGTAACATTATATGTTAATTAAGTTTCTCTATTTTCCATAGGTTCCATAGTGGGACCATGATCTCTGCTGTCGACTTTTGATGTCAAAAATTCAACTCTACAGTTTAACAAAGTGACTTTTAATTGACATTTTTTGTAGTTTGATATAATATAGTGTATAAGAAATAAAATATAGGAAGATGTACTGGTGGTTTATTACAAAGTTTTGTACCATAATATACAACACCAATCCAGGCAATATGTCACTTTAAACTGTTAAAATGTTATTAAAAGTCACTTTTTACACATTTTCAATGTTAAATGTTGTTGGAAGAACGATAAGGGTCCCATAATGCAATTAAAAAAGCATAGACAATTTGGGGGAAAATAACAACATAAATCACAAAATACGAAAAACTGCAAATTTACAGACATTTTTTTTACAGTGTGCAACAGCAATAATCTGTGTTCAGTGCAGGAATCACAGCCATAGTTTAGCCCATTATGTATGCAATAGATTGTTTTCCCAGTTTGCCGTGTAAAACATTCAGGTTTGGCTCAGGATATATCTGAAAGCATAGGTAGTTTTCTGGCTGGTTGTTTGAACTCTGCTTTGACCTTGCAGTTTTAGCTCAGAGAGGAATTCAAGATAAGCTCAATGCTCCTCTTTGTTTGTCTTTTGAGTATGCAGAGCTCAACTTCGTTCGGATTTCAAGCTTAGCCAGGCCTGCAATTCACATCTTGATTCCTGAGCAAATCAAATGTTGCTGTTCTCATATATCTTTGATTATTATTTAATATGCAAAATACTTTTTATGATAACATTGCAGATTTAAACCCTCCAGTCCTGTTTCTTTTTAAGAAGAGTTGAATTACTTTTGTGAAAAGGTTTTATCTTTGGGTTTAATCTTTAATTCATTGGTCTCTTACAGGCAGCAGTGTCTGTATCTTTTTTGACCCCAGTGTGTCAATACTAGATGAAATTCCACTCAGCACCTGCTGAGAGACTAGAAATGGGGACCAGGTGGATGAAAGAACTCAATTAAAAAGAGGCAAACAGGAAGGCATTACTGCAGAGAATGGTTGGAAATGGAAAATTGTGGTAAACGTGTGCTGTCACCTGGTTACTATGTGCTTGAAAAAATTTGTTTTTAGTTTTTTTTTTTTTCAAATGTTTTTATGGATTTAGAGAGTTGAATACACTTATGGAATTTTTATTGACGTCATATAAAAAAGTCATAGTATAAGCAAACAATGAAGGTTTCTAAGGTTATTGACCTTCCCTCCTTCTTTATTGAGTTTCTAATAAAAGCATTGCATCAATTTAACATCCCTGGAACTTTTTTATTCTGCAAAACATTCTTCATGGTAGAGAAGATCATTAAAAGCTTCTATATTAGAACTGTTTACTGAACTGTTTTTAATTATCATTATTAAGAGTGAGGGAAAGAAAACCACTTAAATCAAACCTGCCCTCAGCATCTACTTGTTTATTTATAATGTTTTCCCTTTTTCTTGTATCGTGTTTTTATAATAAAATTTTAATATTTATTATGATTACACACTATTTTGAATTAATTTAATGTATGAATTATCTTGTCACTGATAGTTGTATTTATTGTACATTTTAAATTATTTTATTTAATCAGCACTCTGGATGTCACAGTGATTAAGACTGTGACAATATGATTTACAGTATTGGAGCTCTTAGGCAGGTATTAGCATAAATGCTGGCAGAGAACTTTGATTTATTTCATACTACTGGTTGCAGTGATTCTTCTATTTTCCAATCTTATTTGCATCCTTAAAAAACATCACTTATGGTTCTCTTTTCAACATATTATGGTTTGGGACGTACTAACTTTGTTTTTGAATACTGTTTAAGGATATATATTTTGTGAATTGGGAAGCAGCTATAGTCAAACTCTCAAATGCACAGTCAACAATATACTCACCATTTACTCACCGGTCACTTGTTGTAAACCTGTTTAAGTTCTTTTGTTTGTTAAAGAAAAAAGAAGATATTTTGAAGAAAGCTGTAAACCTGTAACCATTGACTCTTGTGGTAGAAAAAAAACAATGAAAGTCAAAGGTTACAGGATTTTAGCTTTCTTATAATTTGTGCAACAGAAAAGAAACAAACACAATCAGGTTTAGAACAAGTGAAGGGTGAGGAATGATGACAGAAATTTCAGTTTTAGGTGAACTATCCCTTTAAGTGCTATTTTAAATGTTTTTCAAGGGTCATTAGCCTCTTAACTGGATAAAAATTCCAGATTTTGGGGTGAGAGTTAAGGAGTTAAAGACATTTGTGTTTCAGAGATATTCTTGGCAGATTATGACAAGTTTGAATAAACTCATACTACATTTGTAATGCCTATTGACTGCAGAAAACTCTCTGGGATTCTCTGAAAATTCTAATTCCGTCAGAAACAAGTATTGCAGAGATCTGTGCCCTTATTTAGTTTTCACATACTTTTAATTTAACTTAACAAAAGCTAGTTATGCTGCTTATCAAATTTTTATATGAAATGAGCTGAAATTAGCTTTTTTTCTGTAATTCTGTATTTTTTTATACAAATTGTTTTATTTTTAATCCACTTAACTAAAGTAACTTGATGGTTTTGTTTTGAGACAGCATGATAATGAAAGAATTGTGTAGGTGTCACTACCTGGGTGATGAATATTCTAGGTATACTTTGCATGATTTCATTAAGAGGTCAAAATGTTGACAAAAAATGTAATTTTAGGTGTTTTAAAAAAGACTTGTTAGAGATTAATCTTGACTTAGTTTGTAGAATTAGAAGAGTTTAAAGTGAGGTTTTGAGGTTATGGCTTTGCAAAAAAGTAGCACTTTGGGCGTTGACAGCCTTATTAACAACGCTTGTTGCTTTGCTCAGTGAGCCAGATCAGTCTCAGTCAACACCATTATTAAAGCAGTTGTTAAGTTTGAACTGTAATAAATGAGAAAAAAATCCAGTTGTCCAGAAGTGATTGAGAGTAATTGGCTTAACAACAGTAAGCTGTGTTCCAGGCAAGAGTCATTTACAAGCTAATTCAAATGAAAATGTTTTTATATAATTAGTGCAAAGTACTTTTTTTCTCAAGGCTTCCAAATGCCTAAGATAAGTTGAAATAATACAATTATTATTTATAATTAATTATATTAATAAATTAATAACAACACAATTATGTTACACCAACTAATAATATACACAACTAATAATTGTTTGTTTATTTATTTGTTGTTTATTTATTGACTTTGGAGTGTACAGCTATCAGAAGCAGTTTATGTATAAATATTATTTCATTCATTCATTTATTCATTTATTCATTTTCTTTTAGGCTTAGTTCCTTTATTAATCTGGGGTCACCACAGCGGAATGAATCGCAAACTTATCCAGCATATGTTTTATGCAGCGGATGCCCTTCCAGCTGCAACCCAACCCTGGGAAACACCCACACACACTTGCACACACTCCCATACACTACAGCCAATTTAGCTTATTCAATTCCCCTGTACCACATGTCTTTGGACTGTGGGGGAAACCGGAGCACCCGGAGGAAACCCACGCGAACACAGGGAGAACATGCCAACTTACCCAGCCGGGGCTTGAACCAGCAACCTTCTTGCTGTGAGGCCATTGTGCTACCTACTGCGCTAATGTGCTGCCCCTAAATATTTAGTATTAATTATAACTATTTTATGGTTAATTTTAAATGTAATGCATAATTATATTGTTAGTTTTACACACATTTGTTCATCTTTGTGGTCCATAGTTTGGGCCGGCCACTCAGATTTATCAAACAGCCCACAAATAAACTGTAATATCCACTTTTTCTTTCATATGCATTTCTAAAAGCTGCAAGACACATAAAAGTCAGTATTTCTCCTCATTATCTAACATTAGCTTGTGAACATGAGAGATGCAGAGTAGCCCTCATTTTCTGACAGTGTAAAATATTTTGCCAGGTATACAGGCTTGACTTACGTGTAGTAAAACTTAAAATGAAATGTACAATTAAAGTCTTATTAAGAATCATTAGCCCTCCTAAATTAGTAGCACCCCAGTATATATAATCTTTTCCCCAATTTTGCCTAATAATTGTGAATTTAACTGTATGTCATCATTTAAATCTCACCATCAAGGGATTCCAACTCTTTTTGAGTTCACGAATGATATTTTGAAACCTGAGAAAATAAGTCAGTGGTGACCAGTTTCCAACATTCTTCAAAATATCTTCTTTTGTGTTCAATATGAAAAAAGTCATACAGGTTTGCAACTAGTAAATGGTGACACAACAGTTGAACTGCAACAATTTGAACCACCTTAATCTACCTTGATACAATATTGCAGTGTATCCATATGAACTTGCATGCCGTTCATGCGTAGGAATGATAAATGAGGACACGCTGCTCTTCATTCTGTCCCTGCGGAGACTCTTGTTTACTTGTGTAAGAGTGTTTGCTCACAGTTGTTTGTACCGGCAGCTACATCCATACATCTCTAAGCAGTCTAATGCCTCTCTGAATAGCAAAAAAAAAAATCTAAAAGTTAACTTTTTGGGAGCTGTAGAGAAACCCATTTACTGGAGAACTTCCATTTTACCCGGATGCACTTCAAGGGCTTTGCTGTTCTATTTCCGATTTCCACAAAGTTGATAAGCTCTCTGCTCGTTTAAAAGCTCCAATCTTGCATTTCGGGTTGTCGAAACGTTAATGGCATTTGAGCTGGTTCTCTGCAAGGCCCTGAATGCCAATAAAACGGGGGTGAAGTTATTGACGTTTGCAGAGGACGGAGCGTGTGATTTCGGTTTAAACGGGTGTCGGATTGAATTTAATTAATAGAAGTATCCTTGGGTGTCCTGGAAGGGTGGAGAAATAATTGCTACATATTGATATTTCCTCCTATACTGATCTCTATCTTTTCTCTCGTTTTTACAGTATGAATTTAAGGTGAAGAATATCAAAAAGAAGAAAGTCAACATCATTGTGTCTGTGGATGGAGTAAAAGTAGCCCTGCGGAAAAAGAAAAAGGTAAGCTTCTGTTTGTTCATTTTTGTTTGCTGTTAATTCCTGTTGTTTTAATTAGAGTGTTTTGTTCATTTGGAAATTAAAGCCATGTAATGTTATTTGAAGAGTTCAGATGCAAAAACCTTTAAGTGCAGTCTATAATTTCCATGAAAAATTAAGTTTTTTTTTCTCAGCCTGCTTTGTTTATGTTGAGTTATTTCACTTAAAAAGAAAAAGGACTTATTCTTTGCTATAAAAAAACATGCACACAGATGCCTGATAAAAATGCAAATTTTTTATAAAAATTTCGGACTGCATTGAGATACACACACTACATATATATTAAGTTCAGTTCAGTTCAGTTTATCTCAGTTCAGTGTGATTTAAAATCATTACTGAGAGTTCAAACACTGAAGAGCAAATTCATCGATGCGAAGCTCTACCAATCCTGAACCATGCGAGCCAGTGGCGACAGCGGAGAGGGAAAAAACTTCACCTGATGGGAGTGAAGAAAAAAAGCCTTGAGAGAACCAGACTCAGTTGGGCACGACCATTTTAATTTCTCCGCGGGCCAAAAGTCTTGTGCAGAGCTTCAGTCACCGCGGTGGAGGCTGGAAGATGGCCTCAGCGAAGACTTGTCTGTCCCTGGAGCGTCGCTGGAATCAGACTCATGTTCTCCACTCCCCACGACCATCAGCGCAGCAGCAGCTCAGGATATGGCCTGGTCCCGGATATGGAAACCTTGGGATCATCTCGTCGCTGGTCTTGGATCCAATCAGTGACTGCATAATCTGAGGACCTCGAGATTAGTATCCCCAGGTGAAAATAGAGAATAAAGAGAATAATTAGCGTAGCTGCTGTTCATAGTGTATATAAGCAAGATGCAGAAGCCTGTGTGGAACCCACTAGGTGATGCATTGAGTGTATGCTTTACTAAACAGATAGGTCTTTAATCTAGTTTTGAACTGGGAGAGTGTGTCTGAGCCTCGGACGTTATCAGGAAGGCTATTCCAGAGTGTAGGAGCCATGAAAGAGAAGGCTCGACCTCCTTTACTTGATTTTGCTATTCTAGGTACTACCAGAGTTTTGAGATCTTAAAGAGCGAGTTGGATTGTAGCAAGACAGAAGGTTGGTTAGATAAACAGGAGCTAGATTATTTAGAGCTTTATAGGTGAGAAGTAATATTTTAAATTCAATACGAAACTTAACAGGCAGCCGGTGTAAGGAGGATAAAATAGGGGTGATATGATCATATTTTCTAGACCTGGTCAGAACTCTGGCTGCTGCATTTTGTACTAATTGAGGTTTGTTAATAGAAGATGCTGTTCACAACAACGAATAACAACTCAATTTAAACCCGCACAAAATAAATGGTAAATAATTGTAATTTGTATGATATTAATCCTTCGAATCGCGTTTAATGGAGAGATAAAGTTTTTTTATACTTTTTCAGTTAGTCACAAACAATTAAATAACACAGAAGTACTAAGATAACAGTTTTTTTTTTTTTTTTGTTTAGATAAAAACACAGATGCTCATGATAAGATTTAAATCACCTTTAATAGAACTTGACGATGGTGAATGTTGTAGCTATTATATTGTGTAACCAATGGGTGGCGACAAAAGACATCAAAATTATTTCACTGAATACGTTTTCAAAAATGATATACCTATATAGAAACATGAGGTTTATTAGTCAATTGTTGAATCATTTGAAATGATATGTTGAATCATATTTGAAAATAAATATGATATGTTGTACAAGATGTTAGATTTCTATATTTAGCATTATCAGAAACAATAGCAAATACTAAAACAGTATTTTCCTTTTTTCAGCTGGTTCTTTCTTGATTTTTGTTTTTATTAAAATTATATTTTCTAAGTTATGTTTGTTAAAACATTGTTGTATGGTTTTTGCAGTAATATATTTTATATATGGAAAGCAAATGATATTTGTCTCCCCCCTTTTTTTCTGATTTGAAAAATGTTCAGATCTGTGACTTAACTGTAGTGTGATCTGAACTGTGAGATTTGTGATCCATTACACCACACACATATTTACCATATTAGGTAACCTACTATAGGTGTGCAATCTGATACAAAGATAATGACACAATTCATAAAAATAAAGCTTCTTTATTTATAAGACAAGATCTAAAACAGATTCATGGTAGAGATTAAGCCATAGAAAGGTTATATAACTCGCTAAATGACGAAAAACTAGTTTTTTTGCGATTTAGCGATGAGAGTTACACAACCTTCCTTACTTACACATTTATTTTTCTATACTAACTTTCAAATATTTTTTCATTAATTAATTTTATGTGTTATTTTTTAATAATTACTGTATTTTTTTTTTTTTTTTAAGTAAAAATTACCTGGATCAGCAACACAAACTATTTGGAATGTAGACCCATAAATTGTGTCTGTGTGTGTGTGAGTGTGAGTGCGTGCGTGCGTGCGTGGAATGCTTAAAAATAATAATTATTATGTTACTTTTATGTACTATTATATAATTTTAAATACACAAAGCCTCATGAAATGCAGCATGAACTCAACATTTTCTTATTTTAGGCATCAGTGAGTTTTTAACGATCTTTAATTGGCTTTAATGAATGAATATTCTCTGCTATAAATTGTCGAGCTGTAAATTGAATCACTGTAAGTGTTTATTTCCAGTATGAATATATTTTGTAACATCCCTAGAGGAAACTTGAATCGGTGTCAGGTTGCTATGGGTGAACAGCATCAATTCTGCCTCATTTTTAGTAACAATAGCTGCAGGTTATTATTTTGTTGGGGGTGATGGTAGCCAGCATTAAGCTTAAAGTCTGTGGGTAACATGGGGTTTTAACATGGTGTTTTTGAGTTCAATTGAGAATAAATCCATGTTCACCCTTTGGCAAGACACCTTTCCTTACACTGTTTTCCAGGATGCTTTTGTCCTTTAGCAAGATGCTTGCCTCAAAGTTAATGGGTACAGTCAGTCACTGCAATTTCTGCATCTTAAGTTACCCTGTGATGTTCATTTAAACTTAAATTATTGATTTACACAGGTGCTTTATCTCTTGGTTTAATTTGGAGCTGGAACTTAAATGAGAAAATTGATAGAGCGCGCTTCTGCCTGGGATATATTATCATATATTAAAGCCTGGCTTGTCGTGAACTGAAATGATCACTTTCATTTCCTGCAGAAAAAAGAATGGACCTGGGATGAAAGCAAGATGATGGTGATGCAAGACCCAATATACAGGTGAAGAGCTTCATGTAATATCTCTTTATTTTAAGTGAAAGAGTTATGGCTGTGTTTTTTGAGAGTGAATGAGTAATGCTGTGTGTCAGTGCTGGATGGGATATGTTTGGTGGACAAGGAGAGTAAAACAATTGGCTTGTTTGCCCCTAAACTGTGTACCTGAATATATCATCTTCACAATTATGATAGCTGCGTTTGGACGATCAGTCAGTGAAAAATGAAGATTGACTGTCCTTTTATTGGCTGTTGTGACTCTTAAGTCGTCTTGTATACTCAAGTTACAGTATGTCTGAATGAATGGTAAACTGAAGCAATTCTCTTTTAGCTTTGAAAGAGACCTATTATGCTATATCACATTTATAAAAGGTTTAAACACACTTTTGTGGAAACAATCTGCGAATATGACCAGCTTCTATTTCTAAAAATGTATTAAATTTTTTTGATATAATCACACCTTATAAAATTATCTGTTAAAATACTTTACAGTGGGAAAGTCCCACCCATTGGTGACAATGGCTGTTTCTCAATTCCAAGTAGGCAAAGAATTAAATGGACTCATTGCATTGTTGTGGAAACCTAGTTTCCAAGTTACCTTGGAAGAACAAACTGGGGAGACCGCAAGAACATAGAACGCGTCCTCTGAGTTTCAATATTCGATGTTGCGTTCTTCCCTGGTCCTTCCTTATGGTGTCATGAAATTCACCTGTTTTTAATGGAAAATTATTGAAACATTACAACATTCATACAACAATTTATCGTTTTCCCCATTTCACAATATATACTATGCATAAAGACCTTAAAAATATGTTGCATAATACAAATAAAACAGATTTTAATATGAATTTCATCAAAGGTTAACTTTTACAGTCTCATTTAGGCAAACTCCTGAGATAAATAAGTTATATATCTGAACTTTAATAATAAATCTATATAAAATGCTGCACTTCCCACCTCCTTTATTCAGTCTCAGCCAACAGCCGATGTCTCCCTCAATAGCATTGGATGCTTGTTTTTGAATCTTCCCATATGCTGACACATAGACATTTGAAGCTTCCTCTTTTGAAAAGAGTGTTGGGAGCACTATCTTATTTGAATTTAAAGCTACAGTCACCAAAAAGCCACAATTACGATCCAAGCCTAAAAGGGGTCAATTTCAAAGAGTTAAAACATTATTTGCTGGGTATTTTGAGCTGAAACTTCACATACATGCTCTAACGCCCTATTCACACGGGGCTTCAGCGTCAACGCTTGACAGAGGGCGTGTCTGAAGTTGGAGCTGAAACGATCGTCATAGAAGCGTCAGCCAATGAAATTCAGTCAGCAATAGGCCACTGTCTGAGCTGGTGTATTTGCATACAGCGATCTGATTGGCTGACGCTTCCGTCGGCGCTTGAAAAGTTGAGCTGGTCCCAACTTCTGCAGCGAGGAACGCTTCTGAAGCGGCGCCGACGGATCCACAATGCAGTTCGGCAACGCCTGACGTCACCCATTCAAAGTGAATGGGAAGCGTTGACGCTGACGCCCCGTGTGAATAGGGCGTAAGGACATTATAGACTTATTTTACATCAAAAGGGGCAAAATATGTCCCCTTTAATGATAATAAGTTAGAAATGTGCAATGTGACTTAAGCAGTGCTAACTTGAACCATGCATCCTTGCCTATTCTATGACCATTTACAACAGTATTTTCTTTAATGTCATAGCCTGACAGAGTTTACTGTCTTGAATCTAGACAGAATGAAGAAAATATCCCATCAAGCTGCTTGAGTTAACAACTCTTTTTGCCATTCTCTTTCTTGACTAACATCTGTGTAAATATAATTGTTTTAACACTACAGGTAAAACAGAAAACCTATTTCCCTGCTGTGTTAATGTAGACAGATTTGAGTTTTCTTTTCAGTATCTAACTCTCCACTGAAATCCAGCTGGATTGCAGAAACCCCAGTCAAATTGCATCTTGTTATCTCTATTATTTCTCCACTTGACATGAGACCTGCCACAGGTTTGCAGTTTTTTACTTAGTACTATTGGCATAACTTTGCTGCTTTTTGACTTGTTCACACTACAGGAACAGCTAAGAATTTTAACATTTTTTTCACCGCACAGAACATTTTGGCATAGATCTGATTACCTCAGATTTGATTTGTTCTTCTTGTTTTGTATTTCCACTGCAGTTTAGTACCGCTATTCTACTGACTAAGATGCTGCCATTTTACATGTCTTTTTCTTGTGGTGGTATAAAAATGTTTAGTCGTGTGTGACCGTGATGCTGGTAGTGACGATTCTCCCTGAACAATCAATAATTAGTAGCGTATGTATAGAAAGTTTTGACAATGGTATAGCTTGTTTAGAACTTCACCCATGGTGGTACTGAAAACAAATTTTCAAGTACCCAAAAGGCACCCAAAAAGAAGCTGTACTGAATTGAATAAAGCTTCTACTCAATAGGGTTATTAGCTTTGACACAAGGAAGTTGTGGCTGGGACAATAAATTGATGCGTTGCAAAACAAGAAATGTTTCTGCTCACCGCTTTCTGAAATTTTCGAAAAGCATTGCAAGTATCTCTTTCACCGATTCTGAGGTTTTCAAACAGCCACACGCTGCCAACGCTGCCAAATGCCACTTGAATGTAAAACAGTCATAAATAAAGTTAATGATTTGTTAATGAAAATGTCTTTAGTGAAATACAAGAGTGTTCATTGTTTACATAAATGCAGTGAAATAAAAGCAAGTTCTTTTCTTAGCCTCAATAATATGCAGCACTACAGATTATCATTAGGTAAATCACTCCTCCGTTTGTTGTGCCATTCAAAACTTTTTTGAGTTTGTTGAAGGCAGTGCTTGATTAGATTTATTGGTCAACTTGTGACTCTTCAGAGTTCATTGTTGACTGTATGAATGCAGTTAGGAAATTGAGAAAAGGGAGTGACAGTAAGTTCTTAAGACTGAGTTCTTGTAACTACCACCCGTGAAAGCTGCCACACATGCTTATACATTGTGCTACACTTCAGATCAAGCTAAAAAAGTCAAAGACGTGCATGGTTAGATCGACATGAGTTATGTAATTCTGCTTCATAAAATCGAGCAAACCCTCCAGTCACTAAACAGAACAATTGAATAAACGAGAGAGAGATTTAATTGCACTCCATTTCATTTAAGTAATTAGACAGTGGGAGGCTCAATTAACACTGAGACTAGTCTTTTGATTATGCAGATTAGGGCATCCAGTGTTTCTTTTTTTTTTCGATTGAGAAATCAATGTACATTGCACAATCTACTCTTTGAATTGCAGCATATTAAATGCAGCTTGATAATAATATATTCTGAAGCATTTCAAGGAGAATAGAAGTGATTTTTTTTAGTGTTCTGTGTGTTTGTCTACTGTGTCTGTCAAACCCTGGATAATGAGATGTTGTGGTTAGAGTTCAAATCTCAGGATTAACCGAAAAATAAAGGCAGTGGTCTGAACCCTTGTGGTGACTGTCATACAGCTGAGACTGTAGACAAGGTCATTCTTACCTCCCAGTCGTTTGAAACACAGCCGCCGACTGTGTTCCTCTCTAAGCTTTTCTAAGGAGGATGCAGGACCCAATTTACCACTCGCTGACAGACTTAATGAAAAATGAGAGTACTAGCGCACTATGTCATCAGTATTAATCTTCTCTTGCACTTATGGCTGGTACTAAGCATCAGGGTGATCCAGAGCTGGCAGGGAACAACTGCATTGTCACTAAAACTACTAGCAATGGAAAACGCAGGACTGTCTTTTGAGACTTAAAGTAAAAAGGATGACAGGCACCATGTTATAAAGCTCTAAATGGCTTCATGGCCATGACCTGATGGCTGCGATGCAGTGTTTGCTTGTGTCCACAATCCCACAGCCACCTGGAATACTGGTATTTTATCTCGGATTCAGTTGATCTCTGAGGCTCAAGGGCATTCAGTGAACCACGGTCAGTTTGTGTGTCTGGAAAAAAAGCACATACAGAGTTGTGAGAGCAGTTGGCGAAATAATGTTTTGTTTTCCTTTATAGCTGCTTGTTAATGATCAAAGCTACAGTGCTCAGCATATATAAGTACACCCCTCAAAAATCTATCTTTTAAATTCATATTTTTAATAGGAAGCCATACAATATTATATTTGTGCATATACACTCGATTAGTCAGTGCTGAAGCCAAATCTGGAGCTTATTTAGCAAAATACTTTAACTTCTGATAACGGTCTGAAAACTAGTACACCAAAATTTATGTAATAGAAAAATATTAAATAAAAATTCTAATAAAGAGAAAAAATAGAGAGAAGTTAGTTTAACATTTTTTAGGTTAGAATTTTTATTTTAAATTTAGTTGTAAATTTTAAATGCATTGTTTTGCAATTTTTTGCCTGATTTTAATTGTATTATCTTTTCATTTCTAAATATGTTTGGTGACTAAATAGTAAATCTGTTATGTTTTAATTGCACTAAAATACATTGCCTTTATTCACTAAGAAATGTATAAAACTATTCTTTTTTAGGATGTTTTGGGGTGTACTTAATTATGCTGAGCACTGTATTAATATAACACTATATGACTATATAACTTTTTTGCATTTTATTACATTTTTTGCAGTTTAAGGTTTTTATGTTTAAACAGAAAATGCTTTACTGCTAAATACTAAAGCATTTAAACACTTGTGGACACAAAATTATTTATATTTAGTGTGTTTATTATGAAATTGGCATTTTATGTTTTAACAAACACATGTAGATTGCTGAGTAAAAGGCTAAGTTCACACTGCAGGCAAATGTTTTGTGAAAAAAAAATGCACACATCATTGTGATGTTTTATGAATGAATTTCGGGTGGAGGAGCACAATCAGTCTTTGATGAGGCTAATTCATCCCAGACAATCATTTGTTTATCCCATCAGCTTAAGACCAAACCCCTATAAATAGTCCAACACGTCATACCTCTGTTTTCTCTTGACTTCAGCATCCCTCCAGCACACCAAGTCCACACTATTAAACCTGATAACTATTTAAATCTGAGGGGGGAGCGTTCTGAAGCTGGAGTAGATACTGCACTCAGACCCTATCTCTCTCTGTCCTGATAAGGGGGAATAACAGTTAGGGTGTCTTCCCAAGTCAAATATCTGTGAGTGTGAACTCGTGAACTGTGCTGCAAACATCATCTACTCCTTAACAGCATAGTAGAATAGCACAGAGGGCAATTACTTTACCACTGAAAGTTGATTGTTCATTTTGAAAAATATTTGAAGGCAAATCTGGTGCTTGTTAACCAAACTGTTTAACGATTGTGGCACAAGTTGATCGCTAAGCTGAAGAGTTTCAGGAGGTGATCCATGCGGATGCGTTCGCAAAGGAGGCAGTCTGTCATTTTAAAGATGAACTTTCTTTCAGAGAAAAAAATGGGCAGGTGCTCAAGCACTCAAACCCCCCCGCACACGCCTGTTGTTTATAACAACGTAAAATTAAATAACTTTGCAAGCAGAGATAAACCAACTCCGCCTTCACAGTTCAGTCTGCAGTTGCTCATTAACCCTTGATGAGTTTACTACACCGGTGGACAGAAAGACGCACACTGTTGTTTATGAAATTCATGAAATACACCACAGTTGTCTCTGAAAAGGCCAATAATCGTTATTCATAATCTGACAATGTGCTTACTTTATACAGTATGTACATTGTGT